CCATCCATCCATCCATCCATCCATCCATCCATCATCCATCCATGGATTTCACAATCCATTCAGAGTGAACACAGATACAAGGTCCAAGAATCAGCAGCAACCTGCACAAGGACGACAACACAAGTAGACAGACAGTGAAACACAATAGCTAGACATCAGGAAGCCTAACCTAAACTAGTTAACACTCAACCACTGAACTGCTGGCATTTTGGGCCTTGAATCCCTCAACCAATGTCGCAATATGCGCAGCATGTGTGCAGGAACACCTGCAGGGGCTCAGAACTGCCGTCATCTGCCACATTATGAAGAACTCCCCCCTCCCCAAACTACAATAAGGTAAGGTAACCAAACATCTTCCACATCCATCAGGTTCCTGTTACTGAAGCTAGCTGCAGAAAAGACAGTTTTGATGCTGATGGACCACAGTCTGCGCTCAGAGGGGAGGGCTGGAAAAGTTTGTGTCCATGATGGGAGGGGTCAACTGCAGTCTTTGCATGAACCAGGCAACAACACACAGGTGGAATAAGCAGTCCTATAGATTTATTAATAAAACAGTGAGTAGTGGATTTGGCCAGACTTCAAGGTTTGCAGGGGAACCTGTTTGGCAAAACCCTTAGGAGAAAAGGTAGGCAATGTTAAATTAAGGTTAGACTTACTTAGACAAATTTTATTGTTGAGATTTCATTTTGTACAGTAAATGAGCGGCAGGGTAGCAGTGAACTGACTGAGGTCTGTTGGTGAGGAAGTCTAGCAGCCAATAGCAGAGGGGTGTATTGAAGCCCAGCTGTTCCAGTTTTCCTATTAGATGCTCCGGACCTTCTTCCTTCAAGCAGGATACATAGCCTTAGTTGAGTGGAACATACAGGACGCCTTCGCTCAGCTACTCAATAGACCTCCACCACCCAAACCATCACTCTGTGACATTCAAATTCAGCAGTCTATAACCTCTGATCCTGTTCCTCCACCATCACCAGCTGTTGGTCCCCCCCAGCCATCTGCTTCCTCCAGGCGTAAGCTCCGCCGCCAGGGAAAATAGTCCTCTCCCTCTCCGGTGGGTCAGCCTACCGCCTCCATTCCAGCCTCAGTTATGGAGCTTCTTTTATGGAGAAAGGGAGGATCTTTTCCCTTTCCTTCCACCTCCATCAGCTCCCCGCCAGCCAGCACTTCCCCAGCCAGATCCCAAGCCAGGGCCCTTTAGCGGGCCAGAACAATTCAATTCAATTCAATTCAATTCAATTTATTTATATAGCGCCAAATTCACAACACATGTCATCTC